GAGCCTGCTGATGGCTTTGGGGCTCACTACAAGCGGAGGCCGAATTCCGTTGCCCCGCCTTCAACTTTCGCCTGCAACTTGCATGCTGTGTCAGGGGGCCATCTCAGAAGGAAGGGCCGGCGCGGGTGCGGCGTCGGTCCAACAGGGAGGGCCGCATCGGCGAGCTGGAGGCCGGCAATTAGATTCAGATTCCGTCCAGTGTTGCATCTGATGTCCTGGAGGAGGCGGTCGAGGAGTTGGAAGGCGAGATCAGCCGCCTGAACAACGAGACAGAGGCTGGGATCGCGGAATGGCATGGTTGCAGGATGTTCAGATGATACTCATTTTCAGGATCGGGATGCCGCGGCGGTGGAAGCCAATGAGCTTCAGGGGCAAGCGATGGAGGTACCGCCAGTGTGCTCAGGGGATTGTTTTGTGTTGTTTCATGTCCTGCTCCTTGGGCAGGAGCTTCAGGCGGAGATGGAGGTTACGTCTTGTTCGCATTGGCTTTGGACTTCGGATCTAGTCCTGGGGCAGGCGATGAAGAACAGCTATGAGATCCAGCTGCAGGTTCGGCGTATTCACGTTCGCATTGGGAGTTCCCTGAATCCTCGCATGTCATGGGTCCGTGGGCAGGAGCAGCAGGACATCAACGACAAGAATCTCCAGGCATTGGCGTTGGAAGTTCCCTTAATCTGATCGCATGTCGTGGCCCTTGAACAGGACATGAAGCAGAGCTTCTTGGAGCAGACCCAGGTTCGGTTTCTTCGTATTCGCGATTGAATTCCCAGCTATCCCTGGCGGAGGCCATGGAGAGAGATCAGGCCGTGCTCATCCAGGTCGCCTGGACTGCTAGGTTGGCTGATCTTCGATTTGAGATTGTGGGCGTCTGCCTCAGGAGCTTGAGGCCGAGCATGAGAAGGCCATGCAGAAGAAGGAGGATGAAGTCTCAGCCAAGTACAAGGATCCTTCCGGGCTTTTGGACTTGTGCACAAATGCTTTCTCTTAGCTAAGTTCTTCTTCGCAGGAGAAGTTGGCGAGCATGACCGATAGTTTGCGTGATGCCGTCTGGTGCAACAAGGAACTATATAGGCGGCTCAACGAGAGGGCCCAGGAATAGGAAGGTTCAGGCAAAAAGAGGAAGGCCTCTTAATCTAAGAAACAGACAGTGCTCATCTCAGCTCAGCACAGCTCAACACAGCTCAACAACGACAACAACACACAGCTCACCACACAGCAGCAGACAAAAAAATCCAAGGGTGCCGTCCTCGACCTCGAAGGGTAGTTTTGCCTTAAGTGGCCGCAGCGCTCGTGTCGAGCCTCCTTGGAAAAAAAAAGAGTGCTGCATCACTTTGTGACTGAGACCTTGAGATCAGCTTATGCAGTGCATGCCGATGATTTGATTGGGTCGCTAAGGCGTGATCATCCCTTGGATCATTGCAGCCGGGGGCCTGGTCAGTGGCCACGTTGTGATTTGCTGGGTACGGGGAGCACCTTGAGCTTATTAGTGCATAATGCTGACTTGGGAATTTGAGAGGTGCGGTTTGGGTCGCTATCATGTCGGTACTCCGGAATTCCAGAACCTCGGGTTCTCGGCCACCTTGTGTTGCATTCTAGGGCCTCGTGTCGGCATCCCACATAGACGATCTATTTCTTAGAAATTGTCGTCTCCCATGGATCCCAAACACATCAACGTCACCTCATTGAGGCGGCCCATGATTGCACGTGCGGCGATGGCAGCGTGAGGAAGGCGGGAATCGAGTGTAGTGCCGAGCTGAGTGGATCACGGGCAGAGTCAGGGATAAGGGTTTAGTTAGGGTCAGGGTTATTGTAAACTTAAATGAAGGCTGTTCAGCGTGGTATCGATATTACGCCCTAAGCTTCTGAAAGTGTTTTTTTGCATGAATAGCTTAATCCATTCATTTCAGTTGAAGTAGTAGCCGCATATGGCCTCGTCAACACGGCCGCATGTGTCAGGGTTCTTGCGCTGGCAGTGGTTGCCGACTCTAGATTGATCGCGGGGAATTGGATTGTTGACGATGCTAAGAAGATCATGCTAGACTTAGACGTTTGCACCACGGTAATGAGGTTCAGTGGTGTGTGCAGAGGGTGTGTCATCCGTGAATACGAATAACTGTGCTAGGTGTGGTGAAGCATCAATGATCTAGGCGGGCATCGCTGCACAAGCGATGCAAATTAGCAGCACTGCAGAAGTGCTGCACTGCGACTCACCGTGCAACCAATTACAGACTTCTTCTGTGACTCAAAGCAAGACGAAAGCTTTGCCCGAAGCTAATTTTGGAAGCTCAGCCCAAACCCGACGCACAAGCTTTGTGCAGCCCTGTCTGTGGCCACAAGCAAGCCTGCAGGAAATGTGCTCGCCGACTCGCTTTCTAATTGCCAAGAACAGAAAACGAAAATCAAAAAGACATTACTAATTACAGCACCCATGAGGGGACGTTCCCCGCACAGGTTTTGAGCATGCTCTAAATTCCCAACAAGATCCCTTGCACAATAGCTGCTCGGCACTCTCTGGCTTGGCACCCGGGCATAGACCGCACGCAATTTGTGCAAGCCTCTCTTCTCCGAAGCAAGGATGTTTCAAGCGGGCCTCACTGCACAGGCAATGTAGACGAGCAGCACTGCACAAAGTGCTGCATCTGACTTAGGGTGAAAGGTGTTTACTTCCGGATGATGTAGTTTCAACTTTGGTTAACTCCTGAGATAGTGTAGAAATCCTGTGACGTGCAGGCCCTTAAGCCGTAGGAAAGCAGCCTCAACCTTGCCTGAGCAGATTTCATGCGGAGGCTTATTTCCCAGGCTTGCGCAAATTGCGTGCGGTCTCTGCCCGGATGCCAAGCCAGAGAGTGCCGAGCAGCTATTGTGCAAGGGATCTTGTTGGGAAATCAGGGCATGTTCAAAACGTGTGCAGGGACCGTGCCCTCGCGAGTGCTGAGCTGTAGTAGTGTCTTTTGATTCTGTTCTTGGCAATTAGAAAGCGAGTAGGCGAGCACATGACCTGCAGCCGTGGTGGTGGCCACAGACAGGCCTGCACAAACCTTGTGCGTCGGGTTTGGGCTGAGCTTCCAAAATCAGCTTTGGGCAAAGCTTTCGTCTTGCTTTGAATCACTTACTTGCTTGCACGTTCAGCCGAAAGTTTGTCTGAACAGATTTGCTGCGGAGGCGAGGCGGCGAGGCTTCCACAAATCGTGTGCGGTCTCTTCCCGGATGCCAAGGCCAGCGAGTGCCGAGCAGCTATTGTGCAAGGGATCCTGTTGGAAATTCAGGGCATGCTGAAAACCTTTGCGGGGACCGTGCCCTCGTGGGTGCTGTATAGTAGTAATGTTTGTGCTGTTATCTGTTCTTGGGAATTAGAAAGCGACAGGCGAGCACATTTCCTGCAGGCTTGGTTGTGGCCCCACCCGTCTGCACAAAGCTTATGCGTAGGGTTTCGGCTGGGCTTGGCTTCCAAAATAACTACTCTTAGACAGTATGGGGCTCGAAAGGCATTCTAGTCTTACTTTTAAAGCTCGGCAGTCGCTACCTTGCTTGGCCGTTGTTGTTTTGCAGCGTTTTGCTTCAGCTGTAGGGTTTATCTTGTGACCTAGCCCCGGCGAATGCTTGGCAATGCGAACAGCTTTCCGGGCAGTTTCAGACCAATAGACTCCTTCTCGAAGGCGTCACTCTGCCAGCAGAACAAACTAAACAGACTATCATGGCTAAGTGTCCGTTGTCAGTAAACCATGTCGAGGGGGCGGTGCCGATCGCCGGATGGACAACATGCCGTGAGATGCATTGAAAGATACGGTTCTGCTAGCCTTGCTGTTGCCAATTGCAACCGTTGCAAATGGTTGAAGCATTGCTCACGATGGACTTCCAGATGCACCTGGCTGGAAGAGCAGCCGGACAAGCAGAAGCCGTGGGGTCTGGGATGCCGGCATTGTTCTTTATCGCGGAATGCAGAGACATCAAGCTCCTGCTGGAAACACCATCTTAAAGGAAGTTCCGGTATTCTGCAGATCAAAGACCTACTGGATCATGCACGATCTCCTATGCATTTCAAGGCAGCGGGTTTGGAGTTGGCTTCTACTCCTGAGGAGAGAAGCACAGATCTGGCAGCGGATGTACCAACTGCCGGGCTCATTCGTCTAAGCCTCGAAATAGTTCGGTGTCCACTGGGTGCGCAAGGCGAGGAGTTTCAGAGAAAAGCTGAGTTGGCAAGCCGTGGCGACAGCCGGAACTTCCCAGCAGCTTTTGCCATCAAATACCAGCACAGCCGTATCGTGAAGTGTCTCGCGGATGTGTTGTCCCTTAGCTTAACCCTAGCTAAAGGTACCAGATGAGGTTTTGGGTGCTTCCAGATTTCCTTCGATATGTGGCCCCGCTTCTCAATCCAAGGTTTCAGATGGATAGGGACCTCATCGACAAAAAGAAGATCAGAGCTGCCGGCTGGGCAGAGGCTGGTTACTAGGGTCCGATCTCGCAAGTTGCTGTTCTTAGTTCTTTTTTGCCAGGATGTCGCTGACGGTCTGTCCCTTGTCAAGCTGAAGATGTGCACAAAAGATTACGACGTCATCCATCGCTTGGCAGATCTCCGGGATACCCAGGGCCAGAAGGTCTCGTGATTGCGATTTGCTTCTGGTTTGGCGACTAGTAGCACCCCAAAACCTGAGTCTTGTCCTGTGCCCAGACAGCTATCTCCAAGCTGAAACATGTGAACGACACCATCCGCTTCTGGGGAGAGCCATTGCGTCCCCTCATCCAGGCCGGTTGTCTCGGCACATGCAGCAGCAAGTGTCCTGCAGACTGTGGCTACTGCAGGCTTGGACGAGCGATGGCGAGCCTGCAGAATTGCTCTGTCCTAGGTTGGCCAAGGACACACTTGCACCAGAGGAAGCTAGCACAGACAGAATTGTTGTGAGCTCGATGGGTGGCCTTGCCAGGAGGACGGCGTCCTTCCGTCTTTGCTGTGTGTCCTGAGATGCACGGCACATGCATCGCAGAAGGCGCTAGAGCGGGCCATGTTGACCAACGTGGAGGTCAAGGAGCTTCTTGATACTTTGGTTTTCAACTTCGCCTCGGGCAAGCATGACAGAGGCAGCCTAGCACGGGCATTGACCAACAGTCCAAAAATGCATGGCATGCTGAAAGAGGAACTGAGCAAGGACCTCAATCAGCTCTACGAGCTCTCGTCTCAGAGTCATTCTTCAGCTGGATCTTTTCATTTTGCTGCCCAGCGGTGGGACTCCACCCTGAAATGCCTGAGAATCTTCGCTTTGAGGATGAGTGAGATCTTGAGTTTGCTTGCCCGTGTTGCTGCAGACAAGACAGACCAAAATCAGAATTGGGCCAAATCTATGTTGAACTTCCTCAGCATGGACCGTATTATCCTTCTTTGCTTGTGCGTGGAGTTCATGGAAGTCGCCTCACGGTACGTGCATGCCTGCGACAATCCCGGGGGATCTATTAAAGCCAGCTCTGCGGGCAAAGCGGCAAGCTCATTGCCCCGGCGTATAGCTCAGCTTGCCTGCACCGCATCCAATCTGCGTTTGCGACTAGATCAGCTCTTCTCCTTTACTTTCCAGGGCGTCAAGCAGGTGCCACTGGTGATGGACGAACGTTTTGAGAAGGGTTATGTGCAGATCGTCACCAAGGCTCTCAGCCTTGGTCTCGTGCCGATGAGATAGTACAGCCAAATCTGATTTCTGATTTTTCTGCGGTAAAATCATTAACGGATGCTGGTTTGGATTTCTGCGAGATTTCAGAAACCCTTTCATCCAGGGCAGAAGTCCTTCTCGGTCATCGCGGGTGGCAAGCTCTTGTACCATTTGCAAGGCCGGATTTTCAGTGTTGGTGCAAACACATGGGCTGCGTCTTGCCGCATTCTGCTTGCAAGACTAGTGGATGCCCAGCATCTTCCTTCTAAGGCTATGGGGCGGAGAGGCTTCGCAAAGTGACCGCGGAGAAGCTCGGTATCCTGTGGAACATTCAGACTCTCTTCCTGCAGGGCGTTTGGACGGAAAATGAGATCGGCATCGCTTCTGGGTTCTCCCCGTTTGATGTCGGCTCATGGCTCAAAGAGAACAAGGACGATGCATCTCTGTGACTTGGCAAGCCCAAACACACAACACGTTCTTTTCCAAGTATCTTTGCGAGCCTGTCCCGCAGAAGGCCTGCGTTGCTTGAGCCCGTGGCCAAAGTGGTGGGGGTGCAGGCCTGTGCAGAAGGGTTTGGTTATGTTGTTCTGGCCTTCCAACTGATTTTTGATGCGGAGGCCGATGCCTTGGCCAAGGAGTTGCAGTTGGCACGTCCCACCGTCCAAGCTCTTCTCACGTAGCGTCCCCAGACTCATCTCTTTGCCTGATGTTATTATTGGTGCAGACTACTGATGTGTCCTTGCTGAGGCAAGGCAAAACAGACCCCTGCATTTACTGGAGAGATTGTTTGCAGCACTGGGGCAATGGCAAGAAACTGCCTACCCTGAGCAAAGCCGACTTTCGCCTGCAACTTCAGACTTCTTGTAGCTACATGACCTGCTGGGACCCTCGTTGTCAGTTGCTCTGGCAAGGTGACGTTCATGGATGTGGCGTGGGAGAGTTCAAGCGAGATTGAGCAAACATTCTCGATCCTTCGGCTCTTCTCATCCGGGAGAAAGGCTGGTACGCAGACGGATTTGTTGAGGGCATTGTGCAAGGTCATCTCTGATGCACCTACTCCTCAAGATCTTGCTCCATTCACACGAGCAGGCTCCTCATCGCCTGAGTACATCGTCACCGACCTCGTACGAAGGGTTCAGCAGAGATACAGAGAGGTCCATGGATCTGCTGCCAATCGTCCCAAAATCAAAGGTGAATCTCGGCTTCCAAGACGCAATCTGGTTGAGCGAAAGAAGGACAAGGGATTCGCGGCCTTGCAGCGTAACAGGGACGAGCAAGCGGCAGAGCTGGCGGCAAGCACGAAACCTGTATCTGCCGCGACATTGGATGCCATGGAGTCCGAGACGGCCAAGGCGTCGAAGCAGGCCATTGGAAAGAAGCATGTGTCTTTGCAGCAAAAGCTTGAAGCGAAAGCTTCGCTGAAGAGGAAGCTCATGGAAGCTTTGATCGATGGCGACGAGGAGGCCCGGAAGAAGCTGAAGCTTGCTGAGAAAGAGGATGAAGACAGAGTGCCCTTGACCCGGCGAGACCTCCAAGCTACCACTGAACAACGGCTATTTCTGGACAAAAGTTTGGTCGCCATTATCTTGCTGGTTCCGAGCGAGCCCAGCAGGGCTGTGCAGAAGACACTTCAGAAGCTCGGTTCCAAGATGTACATCTTCAAACCTGAGGAACAGTTGCTGAATGCAACGTTGCGTTTCAAGCACTTGATATGGCTAGCATGCAGCAGCGACGACGAATCGGCAATCATCCATGGCAGACCTTCGGCATCTGGAAACATTTCCTTAAGCCACATCTTAATGTCAAGGATGTTGGGAGGCTTTCTGGCCGGGCCTGAATGGCTTGATTGTTGCTCCTCCACAGAGCAAGTTGTGCGGCCCGTCTTGGCTTTGCAACGCACAGTTTGCAAGAAGAAAGAGCTTTACGTTCACGGGAGCTGTTCTCTCAAATCGGACATCAAGCTGGCTCTTGATGCGGCATGCCGGCATGACGACGTGCGATGGCAGTGGCGAGAGTCGAGATCAAAACTGCCCCGAGCTTAGTAAGGGAACCAACTTCTTGTGGACTTCTTATGAATCAAACACATCATCGAATCATCGGCCCCAGAGTCTCAGGACCCAGAAAACAAGCTGGATGATCGTCGGCAGCTCCTATGACCCCAAGCTGGACTTGACACGTAAGGGCTCAGTGCTGAAGACAGAGGATTTCGTTCAGCAGATCACGAGGTGCTCCCTGTAACCCTCGACTGCATTCCATATTGATTTCGCTTGCCCAATCCTGGGTCAGGTTTGAGACACTGCCAGGGCTGTGAACGTGCAGACTTGTGCGGAGGAGTTTGCCCAACAACAATTAAACCATTAATAATATGCATGATTTGGACAGACAGTCTTAGCATCCGAAGGACGTACACGGCGGTGACCGGCGGCGACGACAGACGTGCGTGATGTGATGTTTCACAGAAGCTGAATAAAACAGCTTCCAAGAGGGTTTGGGCCGGAGCCACAGCAAGTATCACCTGAACATCCTGAATATCTTAGTCTATGGACGTGCTGTTGCTTGTCGCGAGAGACTTGCTGTGTTTCGACAGAATCGCCAGTGGACGGATCTATGGGGTGCCCGGGGTCTTGCAGTTCCACAAAATGTCTTTGGGAGCATATCATCAGATCCGAATAAAATGCATAGACTTCTCCGATGATTCCTTGCGTCAGGCAATTCACGGCGAGTGTTTCCTCGACTGCAACTACAACGTGCAGGTCGGTCCCGGTGTGTGTGTGTGTGTAACCAAAATATAAGGATTCGGTTTGCTGACGTGATCCGAAACCCTGCACATGCGTAGGGGTCTTCAGGGCATACAGGGATATAGGCCGTCCACGGGACGTCGTGCAGGAGCGTACCTGTTTCAGGGTGGGTACAGGTGTGCTGGGCTTGGCTCGAAGACTCTAAAGCGACATATCAGCTTCTGAGTTCCACCCTTGAATCCTCAAAGTTTTGAGGTATGGTTTAGCGGCTCATAGTTCCATGATTTACAGAAATAATGAAACCCTGAATCCCCCATTGAAAATCAACATCCTTGACCCTAACCCCGCAGAGAGCCGTCTTAGAGTAGACCAGCTTGATCTAACCGACACCCGCCGATTGCTGGAGAGTACCTTCAAGTGTAGCACGAGACCAGCCACACCCATCACAGCAAGGTCGACTTGTTTCCGAGAAGATCGCGCTCTTTTTCTGTCCGGGCCTGACGTCGGTTTGCTGCGACTGCGACTCCTTGCTCGATAATCATACTGTGATAGTCTTTCTGGTAACCCTGTCAGGCAGACACCGTTGGTATCCAGCCAGTATCCTTCAATTGCTGCTTGACACCTTGAAGTGTAGCACGAGACCGGCCACACCCATCGCAACAAGGTCGACTTGTTTCAGCGACGACCCTGCTCGTCTTCTGTCCCGGCCTGACATCGGTTGTGTGCGGATTCCATTGCTCGCTGTTCAGAGTCTTTCTATCTTCAAGTGTATCCGTCTCGGCTGACCCCAAGACGCGGAGCCCAAATATTGTGGATAATAGCAGAAATCCGGCCTCTAATTTTCCATGGGACAACAGGAAGAAGAGCAGACATATGACCACCTCCGGAGGAAACACAAGTCGCGGAAGAACATTTCAAGGATTTCACAGTGGATCCAACGCACAATTTTCATAAAGTTTCGGCGACTCCCTTATGTGTCGGGGGCCGGGCCCGAACGCACAAAACCCATGGTTTGGACCTTTGCGTTGAGATTTCTGTGAAATCGGCCTTGTGCGTTTCAACGTTTTTCTTAACGCAAAGGTCCAAACCGTAGGTTTTGTGCGTTGGGGCCCGGGCCCCGACGCACAAGGGAGTCGCCGAAACTTCATGAAAATTGTGCGTTGGATCCTTGGGCCCCAGGACACATCAGGCTTGCGCCTCGGCTGCCGGAGAACAACTGCGAGCAATTGCTGCACACACTTATAAGCTGCTCAAAGTGTTGTCTGGGAAAAGGTTGCGCAAATCTTGCGCAACTTGCGCTCCACGCACCAAATCTGCACAAACTGCACGCTGGATTGACACGGGTGTTCTGGGTATGTGTGCGGGAACTGCGCGCGGAGTGGCCTGCACAGATTTGGCGCAAGCTCGGCCTTCAGACATTCACGGGGCTGCACGAATCGTGCGCAAGTTCTGTGCGGGGATTGTTTTACTCATACACAGACACACGTTGTGCTGCTCGAAGTGTATTCTGGAAAGATCTGCGCAAATCTTGCACGAACTGCGCTCCGCGCAGATTCTGCACACATTGCGTGCTGGATTGACATGTCTGTTCTGGGAATGTGTGCGAGAACTGCGTGCGGAATGGCCTGCAAAACTTTTGCGCAGTCTCTGCCCTCCGCATTGATGGGTCTGTTCAAATGGTGCGCAAGTTTGGGGCTCGGATTGTTGTAATTACTGTACGTCGTTCGCGAAATGTCTGTCTGCTGGTTAGATTCAGAGACATCGTGCACGCACCTTGCCATTTGGGTCGTCAGGTGCCATCATTCTGCACAATTTCTGCATTGAATTGTGTCTGCAGGAGGCCGTTCGGAAATGTTCGTGTGACAGGGGTCCTAGATGCCATGCTGTGTCCAGGCGACACAGCTCTGCCTCGCCCTCGGCCGCGTCCTCGGTTCCCAGCTTGCGTGTGGAGCCACAACTGGTCTGTCGCTTTGCTGACTTTGCCTCTACTTTGCAGCATGGCTTCCTGTCCCTTGCAAGATTCTGTTCAATTTTTCACAGGAGTAGTTGCCGGTGTAGCCCGGCTCCAGACCCCTGCGCTGCCATGGCGCCCAAGACCAGGAAGTCCTTGGGCAAAGCCTCTGAGACAACACCCAAGAAGGCGACAGCCAAGGATGCCTCAGGCAAAAGCACAACGCCCTCGGCGACTCATCCAACTGCTGCTTCGTTGATGTTTGACTACTATATATATATATATATTCATAAACCACATACATACAGATCTAGATATGCAGTGACAGAACTATGTGCAACCCGTATGCTGTAAGATGAGTATATACACGGCAGCTAACTTGATTCAACTGACATGACAGTTTCATGAACAACATTGCTAAAGCTAGTAGGTGTGGACCACGAGAACACAAAATACGAGTCCTACTAATATTTCTTGTGATATGACTGCTAATGAGAGTTCCTGTGAGAACAGCAAGAAGATCAGCAAGATTGACACTAAGCAATAAGGCAAAGAATCATATGCCGACTAACAATATCACTGGTAACAGCGATCAGAATGGGGTCAGAAGCAAAGCCAGCAGCAGCCATTGTAACGAGAAGAACAACAAGAACAGCAACATGATCAACTTTGAGATGATTTCAACAGTTCCACTCTCAGTGTCCACAGTTAGGCATGAGCAAACTGGTCATGGCATCAGCAAACTGGCCATACGTAGTTACAGAGTGGAAACGCCCTTGAAAACGGCTAGACGGTTTTTCTTGTGCATGTACACGTCTGCATGTCTTTAATATATATGTATATCTGCATAAGCATATGTACAAAGTTGTCCAATTACATACAATCATACATACATATACATACATACATACAAGCATACACACATACATACATACATACATGCAGACAGACACACATACATACATACATTCATAGACATATACATTCGTTCATTCATACATACATAATACAAATATGCACAGACAGGATACTGTCTACATAAAATTTAATGTATAACACACAGATATATATGTATATATATCATTATATCTATTGCACACGGTGCATGATGGTTGCAAAATGCAATTGCGCCGAGGTTGCCTTTGTGACCGAGATAGACAACACGATTGACAAGATTCTGAAGAAGGCCGTCGGCCTCGACCCCGTTGATCTCGGTGGGCTTCTTGTCCTGTTGATCAGACAGTCCCTCTTGCCATGCTAAGCTCATGAGCCTTTCTTCACTACCTAAGCTGAGGCTTCAAGGACTGGATGACGAGGACTTCAAGAAACAGCTCAAGAATGCTGCGACATACAAGTGCAACGTGTGTTTGGACTTTTTCACAAAAGACACTTTCGGTGGAACCCGCGTTCTCCCAACCAAAGGGAGCATAGTGCGGTTGGCCCAGCACTTCTTCTTTGACGACAGTGCCAACGAATGGTCATTGCCGCAGTTTTGGCCGGCACCGATCCCGGCTCCTAGGCTGAACAAGTGTAGTCTGGCGCCAGACGTCTCCAAGCCTCTGTTCGTTCTATCTGGCACAGGTCAAGGCGACCTCGCCCTCGACACCGCCCGTGAGGGGATATGTGGAGCTGCTCGGGTTTCTCGGCGGGGGTAAGTTTCTGGTTTGGGTGGGTGTGCAGAGTCTTGCTTCCCCTGATTGAAACAACGTTGCTTACCGCCAAGGCAGGAGGCGACCATTCATGCAGTCAAGTACGCAATCATGATGGTGATGAAGCAGCGCGGCGCAGATGCTGACTCCATGCCGAAGGAGTGCAATCGCCTCTTGAGGACTGTGCCGGTGTACTTCGTCCTCTGTCCGGACTCGTCCTCGGCCCAGCGGAAGAGGTGGGAGTTGGACTCGACAACTGCCGTCCTCGCAGATGAGAGGCTCCTCGTGGGGTTCAACTTGGTCTTGGGCGTGGCTGAGGTGTCGGAGAGTCTGGGGACCCCGTCGCGCCCGGCAAGTTTCGAAGATGTGGCATCGTGGCTCTCCAAGGCCAAGCAGAAGTCGATGTCCGTCGAGGTGGTGAAGACCTTCCTCCGCATCAGGAAGAGATTCACCGCTGAGGCAGTCGCACCTCGAAAGCAATGGACAGCATAGAGAGAGATAGACTTCACAGCATGTGCATGGGTCTCCATGTGTGTGGCCGCACGTGCGCGCGTGTGTGTGTGTGTGTGTGTGTGTGTGTGTCCGTGTCTAGGTTGATGCATGCATGTTTCGCCCGTGCACATGTGCGCGGGTCTCTTGCTTTTTTATTTGTGGCTGTTACTGCGCCTCTCTCTCCGTCTCTGTCTCTGTCCGTGTATCTATCT